ATACTACAATGGGAAGGCTGGGATTGCTTTCGGGGGTAATTGCCCAAAACGTTTAGGAATTAGGGACCAAAAAGGGGCAAAAAACAAGCATTTTTCTAGTTTCAGGACAACAACTTGTGTGTAAGTGTATGGATCTTTATGAAATTGTACTACAAGGTTCCATATCACAAAGGGAAAGCTGGATTTGAGTTTGGGGGTAATTGCCCTAAACGTTTAGGAATTTGGAGCCAAAAAGGGGCCTAAAAACAAGCATTTTTCTAGTTTCCAGACAATAACTTGTGTTCAAGTGTATGGATCTCTCTGAAATTGTACTGCAAGGTACCATATCACAAAGGGAGGGCTGGGATTGAGTTTGGGGGTGATTAATCATAAGGGGGTTCAAAAAAATTTGGGGGAGGAATTTTTTTTTTCTTTAAATATTTCCATTTTAAATTGGTTATTTCTGATTTATATATAAAAGCAAATAATAATGATATGGTTTGAATAGGTAAATTAAAATGTTTTAAGTTCTTAGACCACATTCATTCTGTGTCAGAAACATATGCTGTGTCAAATATTTAATCACAATCCAAATTCAGTGCTGTATCAAGCTTAAATGTTGTGTCCATACTTGCCCCAACTGTTCAGGGTTCGACCTCTGCGGTCGTATCAAGCTGCGCCCAGCGGAGCATTTTATTTATGGTTAAAAAAAGGAAATTCTACTTCCATATATTTAAAGAAAACAAAAAGAAATTTTTGAAACACTGGGCAGTGACATATAAAATAATTTCAGTGCTACTGGAGAGTCACAAAAAACTGGGAGAATTTGAAAATACTAGCATTGAATTAGGAGGATAAAGTGGTTTAAGGATGTATTCTTCTGATGTTTCAGTCTCGTTGAAATCTCGTTCTGGAATTATTTCCAAAACATGTGATACAAGTGAAAAATAGCAATGAATTGAATAAATACCATAATCAAACTTAACTCTGTGGAAAAATTGTGTATTTACAATAAGTAGTTTTTGAGTAATAAATTTTTCAAATTTTATTACCAATCAAGTCAGTCTTTTTAGCCAAAATTTTGAGAAAAAGGGTGAGGGGTACAAGAATTGATTTTACCAGAAAAATTAACATCCCATATTACTTTTTTTCTTTTCAAATTTCTTAGATATGTATTTTTTCAATCATTTATAACAAAGAAGTTGAAATAATATGCATTTTGTTCTTAAAACAGAGAAAAATCACAAATTTACAAAATTGACAGCATGGTAAATTTGACACGAAAAAGCATCAAAATATGATAAAACTTTCTTATATAAACACCTACCTATAGTTTTTTAAATTAAATTTATTCAGATTGGTCCAATTCATCTTTATTGAAAGTATGAAAAAAAGTTCAATTGTGGAACTGTGATTTTTTTCACGATAATAGCCCAAAAATGGGTAAAAATTTATGAAAAATGGGAAAATCATGAAAATTGGGTACTTTCAAAGGGCCGTAGCAAAAAAAAAAATGCACCACCATATGAATTTTTCTTCAGCAATTATTTTTTTACAGTCTTATAAACCCAAATATCAGGTTCAGAAAAAAAGTTTTAATTCTAGAAATTTTTGGCTCCTCAGAGGTGTACATCCTTAAAGTAGGATAGAATTCCATCGTTTTGTGTTCTACTTGAATCTGTCTTTGATATTAATCTATACACACTTTATTTGAACCTTGGTGGATAGTTGTCTTATTGGCAATCATTATACCTCATCTCCTTATTTTTATATTGTATGTTTTACATTATATAATTACTGATGTTTTATTGCTTTCAATATGTAAAATGTTTTATGTAAGAAAAAGAAAAAAGAAAGATAAAAGATAATAAAAAATAACTGAAATGTTAAACATGAATTGGTTTCATATTCATCAGTCAGCAAAAGCATTATTTGTATAAAAATGTGTAAAAAGATGAAAGAGAATACAATGAGCTAGAAGGCTTGGATTGGTAAAGAATTTTTTACACGATGCAAATATTTGTACACCTTTGTTAATTACTGTTTGATGAATATAGGTAATCAAATAACCTTCAAGGGGAAGTGTGGTTAAACAAAGCAAATTGACAATTATTTCACCAACAGTAAGATAATGCTGCGAGTCAAAAATGCAAGATGAAACGATATATAGTTCTGTTTATATTATTTCCAGTAACTTCTCAAGAGTCATTGACACACAGGTGGTTTCTTTTTTTTTTTTACGTTGAAGCATTCAGAAAACATTTGAAGTTTTGAGAATATAGGGTAATATACTGAAAACATCTTACAAATCGGTTGCCTTCCATATCTAATGTAAAAGTTGAAGTAGCTAGACAGAAGATGCATAATGCTCCAGAAGAGCACATTATTTTTTAAAAGACAAGATTTCAAAATTTTCTGTCTGGCTTTAATATAAGTGAAATTTATCGAGACAATATCTAAAGTACAAAGGGCAAAAACAAGCAGCTGAATATAACCAAATAGTTTTCAATGATAAGTGAAAAACCAAATGTATTTCAGTAAGTGAAAATTCACCATTTGAAGACCTGCGGCTCTTTTCACAAAAAATCTTAAGAGTAAAATTTAACTTGTAAGTCATACACATTTTGGTATAACTTAATAAATAAAATGTTTGTGAAAAGTGTCGCTGATAAAAAGTCTGACAGGTTTAATAAACTTAAGACACAAAATATATCTACTAGCAATATCAATGATATTACAAACAAAAGTAACAAAACTGTACAGTATATTTGATAAACATCTGATTTCAAGCACAACAGAATGAGGTTGGCTTAAGTAGTATATGACCTGACGCTGCATCAATCTCCCTTTTTAAAAAAACAACGAACAGTGAAAATAGTAAAATGTAAAAGTTAATAAAAAATTGAAACACTTTGACCTGAATTTTGATACAGTCGCTACTTGCAGGCAAAATGGATAAAATCTGGAATTGAAAAACTTTGGATTATTGAGAACTTTTAATGTGACTGTATAACATTATCAAGTTGTTACCAGAGTTTAAGTAATTTCCTATTAGATGAAACTGGTATTGTCACCTAAAAACTAGCCTATGTGATTGTATTTCCTGTCAATCACCTTGAAGGGGAAACAACAGAATTTCAATAAAAAACCATAGAAGCTGTATTCTGCTTCAAGAAAAATTATAGTTATATGTTGTAAAACCAGACTGGAAGATTAGTAGTTATGAAAATATTCAGGTACTTATTTCCTAATAAGTTTATCATTAAATACGGCTTGAGTTGAGTGATGTGCCATTTCTGACATTTCTGTACATTATAAAGTTACAAAATGTAGAAAGCTGTTTTAACTGAATTCTTGCATGTATTTGTACACTATAGCTACTAACAATCATTACTCTTGTACCATTTAGAAGTTTGGCACAGAAAGCACATAAAAAAATCATGTACACTTTCATTGTAAGCATGTGTGTGTCCCATTATACAATACACATACCAAAACATATTCTTTGTATCACTTTTGCCATCACGTTTGTGTGGAAATATATAGAAGAAATAGAAAAACAATAAAGATATAAACCAATTTATACTTAATGTCTCAAGAAATTAAACTAAACGGTTCATTGCTGTTAGTTTATTGTCCAGTATCAAATATTTAATGCATATTCAGGACAAAAAACAATTTTACCACACTTCCAATAGGCAAATTCAAGTAAGTTGATTGGGAGCAAGGGCCAGATTTTTGACTGCAACTGAAAAATGTGGGCATGTTGGATATGGGAAGAAATTTTGCTTGCATAAGGCCACCTTCAAACCAAAGAGTTATTGCAAGGGTTCTTAAACATACAGAGAGCATGGCTGGCAATGCACTCTCTGTAAACTATTTAGCATCACATTTAATTTCCAATATCAACTTGACATGGCTGCATTTATTTATACATCCTGGACAAAATAGTTAACAGTATTGTAGATATAAAAAATACCATGTAAAGAATTTCCTGTGTGATATTGTGGTAGAAATATAGATTTCACCACTGCAACTAGTGTGTTACAATATTTCTCCACTTTAGACAGTTAAATTTTAATTTCTAAAGTGCGAGGCTTGCCGAGCTTTTTAAATAATTAAAATTTAACTGTTTAGAGTGGAGAAATATCGTAATACACGAGTTATAGTGGTGGAATCTGTTTCTCTAATGATTTTTATCCTTCCATTTCAAAGATTTGCAGAAAGTTGTGTTCTTTATATGTGACGTCATCAGGCATGGTCGCCTTTTTTCATGACGTATTGATAGGAAATTCAGAAGAAACCAAGAAAATTTGACGTCATAATTAAATTTCGACCAATCATTTGCTGAGAACAGATATTTCACTAGTGAGGAGAACATTTTTTTCACAATCGGTTGGGAAATGTGAAAATAGTGAAAAAATTGGAGAATATTTGATCCAATAGTGGTAGGTCTTTCATGCTGGTTTTACCAAAATCTGATTCAAACCGAAGACTTTAAAAATTGGTATTTGCTGTCATCCATCGCAGCTTCTAAGACGAGGAAGAGCAAAAGTTGATTGGAGTGAGAATAATGAGTCAGTTTAAGGTTGTTAAAAGGATAATTATAGCCAAAAAAAATTAGATTTTTTCAGAATTTCTTTAAAGAACACTTAGGCAGCATCAAAACAATTGATATTTACCAATTTTCTTGGAAGCCATCTTTTTACTACAAATTTAAATTTTTTTTTTATTAATAAGACCTGTTTTTTTTTTTTTAAATCAGGTGCTGAAACTAAAATTGCTGCATATATTCATTCACTCTAAGTCCTCTTATCTTAAATTTACTTTTCAATTAAAGTCACAAATTACTTAAATTATTTAAGATAAAAGACATGTTACCTATATTACAAATAGGTCACTGTGACCATACCAGATAGATTAAGAAATGAAATGCTTTTTTGAAATATAATAATTTTTTACATTTAAAATCTTATTGTCAGTATTTGTTGAGTCAAAGAGTAAAAGGAAGTTTTACATACCCAACTCTCCTCCATTTTTAGATGTCTTAAAAAATGTTATTCCAGATATTTCATTCACAATATAAAAATTCCAAAGATATATTTGTCATATCTATTTTCACAGCAAAACTCCCATGAAATATGGCAAGTATTCTATATTTGTGGGTAGATATACTACAAAGTAGGTCTGTGACAGTGCTATACAAAATTTTTGGAACATTGAAAATATCTACTTTGTCATTAAGTTATTAGTAAATCTCGTTATTTTTATTCATGATTTGGAATTTTGCAAGGAATTATATAGAAAAATAAAATAAAATCATGCTTATATATGTAACCCCTTGTAATTAAAAATGGAATAGTCTGCATGTTTGTTTTACAAGTATCATTGTTTCTTTGGTGAAAAGGTGTCAGTCTTCATTAGTCAATTAGGAAATAGACCTATCATTAATATAACATCATTCATGTAACTGCTATTGGATCAAAGATGTTATGCTAAAAACAAATGGAAGGAATCTAAGTATGGCTACTTGTTATACTAAGTGATTGCCGATAGAATGTTAGTTGTCATATGCTGAAAACACTTTTTTTTAGGCTAATGGTTATTGCATCACGAAAAAACATCATCAGCCATAAAAGTGCAGCAAAAAATGACAAAAATCATTTAGCAGTTGTTGCTTCTTATTTCTTAAGTAACAGTGGATCTAGATTGATTTTTACAGAGGATGACCTTGAGGTCACTCCGATGTATTGCTATCGCCTAAATTTCCATTATGCAAATTAGTTTTGGGATTTCAACAGATCTATAAAAATTATAGATCCGCGGTCATTACAAGGGAAAAAAGTGCATTTTTATACCTGCGATTCCGTTCTCCGTTCGTACGATGTTTCATCAAAAAATGGAATCATTTCAGTTGTTGATTTAGTACTGAAAATTTGACTGAATTATCTCCTTATTAAATACGGTTTTATATGTTTAATAGGTGTTTAAGAAAGAGGTCAGGTGCTCATGTTCATTCATAAAATTATCGTTCATTCATGAATTTATCGTAAAATCAAAATCACTACACAGGTCACACAGGTTGTAAAGATTACCTGTATAGTATCTAAAAATAGACAAACTTAACTGACTCCCCTCACTGTAGTGTGTGATAACATTTTGTGAGGGAATTCGATGTTTGCTATACCACTGTTCATTTCAACGCACTTTATGACGATACCACTTTATCAATATGAATGAAATTTTTTGCAGTGTTTTAAGAAATAATTTTACTTTAAAATCGCGTATCATTTGTGAACTATTAAATATTTTACAAGGACGAATTTTCTGTATGAAGTCAATAATTGTGTGAACTTTTGAAGCCCAAACTTTTTATAGCCTTAAATACGCTAATGAAAGATCCGAAAACTATACCCATACAGAACGACATGTTTTTGAAATTGTAGCAAAACTTTTGGTTGACAAATTTTAATTCGTTATTGCATAAATATTAACTTGAAATATCTGTCATTTTCTCCCTACCCAGTTTACCTCTATTACTCATTATGATGTGGACTTGACATTGTTATTGAATCTTATGCAATTTGATTGGATTAAGTTATTATTAGATTACCTTCAAACTGTTCATGCTTTTTCGTACGAGTATATTGATTAAATCAGAGCGTGCATGAATGTGTACAGAAAATTAAATGACCTGCAAACTGGACACTGGACCAGTCCATATTACGTTTTATCAATGAATAGATTTTTTTTTATTTCCCAAATTACAGGGCCCATAAAGGGCATAAAATCAGATACAATTGATTTACATAATTGGTAACAACAACAATAATAGCGGCATATAAATAGATATTTAGTATATAAGCATTGGTCAGAATTAGATGAACGAAACTTAAGGTATGAAAGGTAACAATTGCCACTTTTTATCTTTTCACATAATTTTCCACATACACATTAGATAAATTATTTTTGATAGCCTATTGCGGAGAAAAAAGAGAAAGTTTACTGTATTAACGTTCTATTCCATTAAATACGCCATTTTTCGAAGATAAATGCAGAAAGACATTTATGAACGGCTACGCCAGGTAAAATTGTTGTTTATCCTAAAAAAAAATACAATTTTCAGTTTCATTAGAATATTATAATAATAATAAATCCCAAATTTATGTAGTCATTAGATAAAGTCCTTATATGTCCGATCTGCCTATTTTTGGACATCAAAAGACAATACGATCGTGTTAAGGTCAATTTCGTCTACCTCACGCAATCTTGTTAGGCACTATAATGAAATGGACCTGAAATTTATTTCACATGTTTCCTGAAAATTGATAAATATCAAAGCAACATAGAGCTGTTTGTTCTAGTTCGTATAATGACAATTTAATGTCATGTTTGTTTGTGATGACCCCCCTTTTCGGGATTGCATGAGAATTATAGTTATCTCGGTTCGCATGAGGATGACACATGTCAACTGAGCAATTATGTTTGGGACTTAGTTTTAAGGAATGATGTCAAAGTAACATTATGAAAATATTTTTAGTAAGCTGAAATATATATTTATTTTTTACATGTTTATGTCTTGTAAGATATTTTATTTCTGTCCTGTTTTTCAACATTTGCGTCTGGAAAGTTGAAATGTTTTAACTGAATGGTTAATTTAAATTAATTATGAAAATGGTTAAAATTAAATCAATAAAGGAAATTATTGCCCAGTTACAAACACTACCAGGGGATAATCCATAATGATTTTTTTTTCCAGTTATATGTTTCAGCACATGTATAATTAACCCCAACTTTAGCCTGGTAAACTTGTTGTCTCCTTGTAAAATATAAAACATATTTAAAATGATTTCCTGCTAAAGTCTTATATTGATATAAAGTTAAAACCGTCTTGCTTCTCACTAGTCAACACTCCTGTCCTGTCAGGTTTAATTCTTATATATGTGGATGAAAAATAAAAGTCCACAAAACATTAACATGGCAGCAATTGCTTTTACAGCCTTTAAGACTTTGATTTTTTTTTTTACAGAAGAGTGTCCACCATGCACTTGCATTACACTATAATAATAGTAGAATAGTATGATATACATATAGAGAAAAATTATATATACATGCAACCGTAATATTAATATAATATATAACAACAAACCAGTGTATTCTCTGGAACTATTATTATATTAGTATAATAGTCTAAGGTATACTGATTTGTATCACTACAATATAATAGTTATTACGGTGAGGTTGAATTTCCTGTCATTTATTCATCATCCAAGCACGAACTTGTATAAAAAAAAAAATCTCTGTAAATTAACCTCAGTTTCAGGTATAGATATCACCAAGGAAAAATGAGGTATTTTTCCTTGGCAATATTTTTGAATAGTTTTGTTTAAAATATTATATAAATCTATATTTTCTTTATTACTTTTACGATGAATTAAAGTGTTAGAATATCAACATGTCAAAACTGAGTAAGGGCTTATTGCAAATAAATTATAATTCACATCTCAAAGAAAACATAATTAGACTGTCTTTCTTAATTCTGGATTAGGGATTAAGGTAAACTTGAGGTAAAGCTATTAGCACCTTCAAAATACTACAATAAGACTGTAATCAGCTATTTCCTATTTAAGATAAAATACAATAGAAGTGTTATATTTTAGTTACATAATTTATACTTTAACTTTACATTGTAATTGATAAAAAGGTATCTAAGGGACCATATGTTTAAAAGTCAGAATTAAAATAATTACCCTCCCCTTTTTGGGAGTTATGTATTTTGATTGGTCAAGTAACTAGGATATACATTAAATGATTATTGAGATTTAGGAGAATGGGTTTAGAAAGGGACATGGATATATATTAACTTTGTGTAATTTAGAGGATGAGAGAATTTCAGGCTTTGTTCACATCATGGTGACTTAGTCGCATATTCGTATACATGTATGACTTGTGTTGTAAATATGAATGCTTATCTGTTCGAGAATAATTAATATACAATCATCAAACTTAGTGTTTTATTGACTTCTTGTGCGGTAAATTAAAGTAAACCAGACAATGCGTTACCTATGCTCTACCATCACTATTCAGAGTTAGTTCCCTTACAAAATAATATGATCAGAACTGGGTCGCAGAATGTCAGCTAGTTCCCCCACTTATTGACATGCGATCCAGTCCGGTCATAGAGTGGTTCGAGGACCCGGTTTTGTTTTTCCGTGAAGAAGATGCTCTCTGAACTTTAAAGACTAGTGCCATAATATAGAAGACCTCCAGGACAGGAAACCGTATAGGAATTTAACTATTTACTTATTCCTTGGTAACTGCAGAGGGTGAGTACAGCCTACTATTAAATCACCTGTGACACTTTATATAATAATAATTATTTAATTTATTGAACATATAATTAGGTCTGATAAGTGATAAGGCTTATATTTCTCATCCCTCCTGAAGTCTAATATTATATTATTAAAATGGCAAAGTCTTTTGAGTTCAAAAACAACTTCATGGCTAATGTAGAAACAGCTATTGTAAATAATAATAAGATAAGAGTTAAGTTAGGTAATATTTATATTAATGCTCTTGTAGATTCTGGTGCTACAATCTCTGTTATTAATGAGCAACTTCTTAGAAGGGCATTTTATAAAAAAGAATTACCAGACATAAATATTACAGATTTACATGAAATTCGTGGAGTATGTAATACTGTACATAATGTTAAAGGGAAAATTGATTTGGACATAGATGTCAATGAATTAGTTATGCCCTTTTCTTTTTATATTTTAAGAGATGTTGGATTTCACTTAATCCTTGGTCAAGATTTTTTGACTACTCATAAGGCAAACATAAATTTTTCGAATCGTATTGTTTCATTTCATGATCATTTTACTATTGCTGCCTTAGAGTCTGGAAAGAATTTAGAGAGATACTTCATTGCAAAAACAAACAAAACACTCACTTTAAAAGCATATACAGAAAATGATATTCAACTTTCCATCAATAAATTCCCAACAAATACAACAGTGCTGTTAGAGCCACACGATAATTTGATGAACAGACAAATATTAGGTTCTAATTGTCTCAGTCTAGTCAAAGATGCAAAAGTCTATTACAGAGTGCTAAATCCAACAAATGAAGACATTGTTATAAAGGCAA